CCAGACTATCTACCATAATCATCACTAATATATTTGTAAAATATACGTGCAATATTTTCCGAGGTTTTCCTGTACACGGCAATAATCAGAGATCTCAGGGATATCATACAAATATATTTTGCTACAATATGCGATATCTATACACGTGTTCGTAATTGCGGACATTAGTGTATTCTAGTAATATCTCATATATCCATGATTTCTATGGGATATCTGTAGGATATTGCAATATCCCGGCAGGATATCTTTAGGAAATTCTACAAGTTCCCCTTTGTTGTGTAGGTTCTGAGCAAGTATTAAAGATTTAGAGTAAGAAAATGATAAAAGGACGGGATACGACCGACCATCTTTGGTGAATCCAGAAAGAAGATTTAGAAAATTCGGGACGAATGACCGTCTCTAGCGAATTCTGAATGATAACTAACTGCCGCGGATTAGCGCTCACCGGCTCTTTTCTGCGTCTCTCGCAAGGTGCTATTAAGCGGTTTTTGGTAAAATGCCGATGGATTTTAATCGCGCCTGACGTTTACGCATTTCCGGTGTCCGGTAAGAGACGGATTATGTGCGTCCGTTCTTACGGGACTAAGACGCATAATTCAGCAGTGGCTGGTGTCGCGGAAGTGTAATATATCCAGTGATCGAGAAAAAAAGATGTTAGAATGGTTTTTGAGAATTGAAGAGAGCATACAGGTATTTTGCCCGCTGGGGTTGAGTCACACGACGGCGTCCGTGTAACACTCGGTGTTCTCATGCTATCATCCGCGTTTTGCTTTAAGGCACGCTCGGTAATAAGGCCGGCGCCTCTCCGTTTTTTATTTGAGGTTTTAGTTTTCCGCGGCTCGGCTACGGTGGTCCGGAAATCATGTGCGGTTTTTTCTCACGGCAGTCTGTAGAGAGATCGAGAGAGCGATCGAGGAAGGAGAGAGCGATCGAGGAAGCAGCCACGGAAGAGAAGAGCGAAGGAAGTAGAGGGTTAGGGCAACCGAGAACGATGAAGATAGGAAAACCGCCAGGTATGGAGAAGGAGAAGCTATTTTGGAAAAAGCTCGTGGAAGTAAGTTGTATGGAGCAAAGAGGGAGGGGATGTTTTCTTCCCTGGGTAACACTTTTCTTGCTATTTTACAGATTTATGAAAGAGCGTTTAATATCTGGAAGTACCGAAGGAGAGCGGCGGTGCTTGCACTCTGGTACCAGCGCGTTCTATCTGGAAGGAGAGGAAAATTGGAATAACCCGGAGGACGCCTTCTCGTTCCGAAGGCTGTATGGATCGTCCCTATAGAAGAATAACAGCCTGTATGGAGAGAAGAAAGAAAGAAGAAAAAGAGAAAAAAAAAATAAAGGAAGAAAAAGAGAAAAAAATAAAGCTATAGTGACAATGCAGTGTGGTTATTTCTCGACACCGCTCCTTTTTTCCCGTCTTCCTGTGTGCGTACGATATAGAATAGTTTAAGTTAGGGATGGGAAATCGTCAATTTAAAAATCGATTTTTGAATCGATTTCGTATCGAACCAACTAAAATCGATTTGCTAAAAAATCGGACTGAAGAAAATCGATTCTGTGAAAATCGATTAATATTCGTTAATATCGATTAAAAATCGTTAAATATTCTCCAAACCAGGGAGCTTATTACGGTTCTGTATAAGAAGTAAAAATGCGAAAAGAGCGAATTCGCTAGATGTTGACCAATGAAATTATAAATATTCTAGTAAATTCGTTCACTTTTCGCATTTTCATTTCTCATACAAAACCGTAATAAACTCCCAGAGGATAAAATGGCTGCGTTCAGCAGAGAAAGCTGCTTTGCAACTGTTGTAAAATTCGTGAATCTGATTGGTACATGCTCTTGGATTCAACCAAAATTAAGAGCATACTCCAATCAGATTCACGAATTTTATAACAGTTGCAAAGCAGCTTTCTCTGCTGAACGCAGCCATTGTGTATCTTAAAACATAGCGAAAATTAAAAAAGTGAGTAAATTTATTAAGTGTCGATAAAATTATACATATTCTAGCAAATTTGCTTACATTAATAATTTTTATTGCGTTTTGAGATATCGACCTCCAAAATAATGTCTCTTGCACATAAAACACAGCAACGCTTGTCGCGCGTCGTAAATTGGTTACATAATACGGCGATAGCCAATCAATGTGGTTTTCTATAATAAACTTCTACTTTTTTGGAAAAATGTTAATTGGCTATCGAGGTAGTTTCTAGCCAACTTTTATAATATTGACGCGTCCTATGTGAGTGAAACCCGATTGTACACAGTCTCATCGGATACGAAATGTAATGATTGGGAGCGTCCCGATTGACCACGGTACGATTGGATACAACCAACCGATGAAAAGAATTATCTAGTGAATTACTAGGTCGAACCAATCATTCAATCGGGTCCCACCCGTAATGATTAGTTAGATCTAGTTTGTTCTAGTAATTCACTAGATAAAGTAAAGTACTGGAATGCCGACAACGATGGGTGCTTTCCAATTGCAATATACCTAGACACTTTCATGCACACGGCGACACAAGTTGCATTCCAATTGTCGTAAACGTCGACACAACACTACACATCCGTACTTAGCTCAAGAGCTACTAGTCTGCTGTGTAAACTAGTGTTTTCTAGTGAAAATTCAAGTTAATAAATTCAAGTGAAAATTCGAGTTAGTATAAATTAATTTAAGTTAAGCGTAGCGGCTTGAAAAGAGACTGGCATTTGCGAAATGGATAATATCTTTTTTATTATTTAGATTTTATTATTTATTATTAAAAAATACCAAAATATAAGCATAATTGAAAACTAATCCTAATCCTACCCAACATACATATACATTAGTACACACTTTGTTCCAATTGAATCGTGCACAACGTTACATTTTGTGCATTTCTGTGTATATATGTTTCAAGATGTGTTAAGCAATTGGAAAGCAATTAAATAATAGGAAAATGGGCTAATTCGAGTTCAATTGGAAAGCACCCGATATATATAAGTATCTACAATAACAATATTATAGAACAGGTCTAATAAAGGATTTATCTGATTCCGACGTATTGTAATGCAGGATTCACACCGCGTCCGACATCCGACGTATGACGTCCTATATCCAATAGGAGAACAGCTTTCTAATAGAGAATTTAATTCTGCATTAGAAAGCTACTCTTTTATTGGATATTGGACGTCGTACGTCGGACGTTGGACGCGGTGTGAATCCTGCATAAGGCCGATTCTACATTAGTTATAAATCTCAAGGTCGCAGGAAAATTGACCAATCACAGTAAACTTTTCTTCAATCGCAAAGAGGACGATTGACTGTGATTGGTCAATTTTCTTGCGACCTTACAATTTACAACTAATGTAGAACGACTCTTAAACAGACATATAGCGTGTTCGACTGGCCCTGAGTTAATCGTTCCGAGAGCGATTAATGACGTCATAGGTCTCTACTAGTCAATCATAAAGCTTATAAGTATTTGTTCGACCAATAAACGTAGGCTGAATAACCAGAGTGGGTTAACCCAGAGCCAGTCGAACATGCTATTAATGTCACATAGTGTCCGACATCCGACATACGAACATATGATATCCAATAAGAAAACATCTTTCCAATAAAGGATTGAAGTCTCTATCAGAAAGATTATTCATCACTTCAATATTGGGTGTTTACGTGTAGCAGTCGAATTTTCAATCACCACAGCTTTATGATATGTGGAAGTATATATGCAATATTCCTCTGTATTCGCTAATCCGACCCGTCCCTCACGGACACGATTTGGTAATCCGATTAGCCTAGGGAACTTTCTGTCTAGACAATTTACATCACTGCGATTATATCAATCCGATTGAAAATCCGATTGCTACACGTAAACACCCATTGGCTTCAGGCTTTCCATGGAAATTCGCCCCAACGCCATTATCCTCGGTACAACTGTTTATATATAACGAATCGGAAATCGATTTCCTCTATAAAAAATCGATTCGCGTAAAAATCGAAACTACAATAATCGATTAAAATAATCGGTTTTTGCTCGAAGAAAATCGATTTTCTTAAAAATCGATTCAGAATCGCCCATCCATAGTTTAAGTGGATATGTTAGTCTGAAACGGTTGTCCCTGAACGAATCTGCCGTCTTTCATTTGTCCACTCAGCGCTATCG